TAAATTGATTATTTTCAGTCATCTAAATGATTGCAAGTTTAAGTTCAAAGTTGTAGGCATTTATGTTAGGTCCAGTGACACTCTTATGGATTCCTTCTACCATGGGGTTAACAAAATTCCTAAGCGGACTTGGTTGTTCTTGTTTATCTTAAGTTGTTTCCATTTTCTCTTCAATGGTTTTTTTTTCTTTTCTATTTTTTTCTATTTTTATTTATTTTCTCTATTCTAGAATCAAAAGATATTAAATTTACTCGTTCAATCCTATGCATGCATAAATACATTCTAAAAATTATAAGAATAATGAAAAACCTAAGAATATAAATAGTAAAGGTAGTATACAACAATATTACTTAAAGAAACAAGCACAAAATAAAATCAGACACAAAACAAGGTCATGTAGTTTGGCATCACACAACTATTGTAATGACAGATCTTTGGTGCTAACCAAATAGTTGTGTGACACTTGCTATTTGATATAAGTTTTCTACATAGAGCACTGAATGCAAATTACATAGTATTATAAGGTACAAAATACAATGAATACAATATGACACAGACTTCAATCTAGAGTAGGATCCTTCATTAGTTTTAAATTTAAAATTCCTAATTACTTCATTGAATCTCTAACAACGGTGCCAAAAAGTTGAGCTGGTCCTGCATGTACTCATGCAAGTGTATGAATCGTGTAATTAATACAATGAAAATTAGATCAAAACAACCCAAAGGGAATGAGGTGATAAAAAAGTTAAAGTCAAAGGCACTGGTTTTAAAAAACTTAATTTTATTTAAATAAAAGAAAAATTTTAAACAATTTTTTTTGTTTTAAATTTTTAACGAAATTCAAATGTCATAGAAAATTTATGTGAGAATTTTCTTTTTCATAAAATTGATTTAAAGAAATAGGTATAACATATGTAAGTCATCAATAAGGAGCAACATTAGTTTATGGCATTCATCGATTTCAACAAAGACCCTATTTAATACGTATACTCTTATAGGTGTTCCAAAAAATAGAATATGTGTATTTCCATATTGATTATTTAGTTTCAAATAGCATAGACTATGCTATTTTTTAAAATCTACATTCTAAATATTCTTGTACAAATAAGGTCTCTATTGATATCTCAAATTCACACTACTTTTTATGAAATAGCATGGTTACTACTACTTATTAAATGAAATTGATAATTGACAAATAATCTTTGAAAAGTTTTAAAATTTTAAACCTAATTCAAGTGTTGATTTTAACAAAGCGTTAATCCCACCACGTGGGGTCGGTTACATGAATCATTTTTCTCCATTACGTCCTATTTAGTGTCATATTTTCATTTATTTCTAATAAATTAAGATTACTTTCTTATACAATAAGCCCAAGTTTTCCAAGGTCTACCTCTGCCTTTCTTAACATAAGTTAAATCTAAAACATCTACTCTCCTAATCGGATCATCAGATGGTCGACGCTTAATGTGACCAAACTATCTAAGACGACTTCCTCTAAAGCATCCACTCTCTCATCTTATAATGCCCGCTCTAAAAATCACCCCTTTTCAAAATTTTAAAATTTTCCTTTAATAATTGTCTTGTTGTGGCATTCACGTCATGGCTTTGCAATTTTAGCACTACGATTCTAGCTCTAGGCTGATGCTTCAATATTGGCAATATGTCGATAGATGGCAGTGCTCGGCTCTAGGTTGTTGGCATCACACCTTGTTCTTCTTTGTCTTTTGATCAATGATATTGGTCATCGATAGTGATGTGATAATGCATGTGGTGGTGTTGTGGCACTACATTTGTTTCATCCACTTGACATGGATTTGCATGGTGTCGTGACACTAGCTCAGGGCATTGGGGAGCTAGAACTGATGTTGTAGCATTGATAAATCCACACGTAGGCATTAAGCTCTCAGGAAAATGTTCACTTGGCAACTCTGGCCTTGGCGCCATGGTGATAGTACTAAGCACAATGGCACTCCAATAAACATCACTATTTTTTCATTAATTTTTTCTTAAGTGCAAACATGCACATAACATACATAATTATGCAAAATTTGTAAAAGAAGGTATTAAATAAAAAAAACCCTTCTTTTTTGTCATTTTTTAAATATTTTTCTCCCTTAACAGTTTCAAAATGAACTTATTATGTATCACCAAGTATATTATATGAGTTGGAATTCAATTTGATATAATTGGATTTCAAAGGGAGGGGATTTCATGAGAGGTTGTCATTTACTAAGGTCAATAAGAGACCACCTAGGGCCCATTAAGGAATTGTAAGTCTATTATTGAAGGCTGGAGATTGAATTAATTTTATCTTAAATGAGCCGCTAATATGTACGACATATTAGCAGAAATACATCAAAGGGTTTTTTATGACCAAAACAATCAACTAAGTCGAGGATATTATTTTACTAGCGAGCACTAGTGAACTTGGTTTAGATTGATTCTTATTTTATATGATCATCTAATGAGATTTCATAATACGTTTATAATGCTACAACAATTTTTTTTAGAAAGTTGATATTCATATTAGTTAAATGGATCACAATGAATAATTAAATAAGTATTTGTTATAACTTTATATATTCTAGCACATAATGAATCCATAAGTCATGTGTGAATGTTTCTGACATACTACAAGGATAATAAGTAGATATTTCATTACTGATAGTTTAACATTAATTAAGTTATTGAATATTATAGCACCGATAGTTAAACTTCCGTAATTATGTACATTACATATCATAATTCAAAGATTGTATTAGGATTATTGATGGGACAAATACCGATGCTTGTATCCCTATGAAAAAAGAAGTTTTGCATTTGTCAGCATCATTCACCAACTCAATATATAATCGTAATATGCGATTCACATTCTTTTGCTCTAAGGTAAGAGAATTCAGTTCATGACACCCATATTTTGCAACACGTTGAAACAAATTTTAAATGTAATTTTTCTACTCCATCACCAAGTAACATTTCGTGCAAGTAAGAAATTTACTAAACTTTTACTATAACTTTTGTATGAACTTTATTATTTTATCAATGTGAAATTTTACATATTTGATGTTTGTTACCTGCCAAAATATTGATTTCTTAAATCTTATCAAGAAACAATATATTATATACTAGATTTTGTATGAGGAAATCAACCAATAAGAAGCTAATGCAATATCTTTAACAAGGCATGCTCTTATCTTTAAGTAATAGTTATTTGACATTTGATATTATAGGAAAAAATGGGAGATTCTTTAAAGATATATCTAACTACTCATTCAAAAAATATTGTCATGTTATAGTAACACTACATAACTACATATGAGGCATGAATCATGGATTGCTATTGACTTTGAATATTGTTCATGTTGAAGAAAGCTTTTGCTCATCTATATGCACGGCTTTGGAGTGATGCACAATGTTTATGAACATATTAGTAGAATTTACAAATTAATTTAGTATGACATATCTTAAATATATAATAGATTGGCCCATAACGTGTTAATATGTGGACATTATTATATGCTAAATGTTGAATATTTTTTAAATTTGTTTAATTGCAGTGTTCAACTTTCTTAAAGGTAGTAAAAATAATTCATAAATTTATACTTTTTTTGAAATAAATATGATATATAAAAAATTTGGTTATATTGAATTATTATTATTATTTTTTCAAATCTCAATATCAAGTTTGGTGCAAAGAATCGGGCTGACATAGGCAACTGTGTGGCGGTGCGAGCTGGACCGCACCACTGAGGAGTTTTGGCAAAATTGTGTTTCGCTTGCATTCTCAATAATTTGTGATGAAAAAACTGCATTTTGCAATCAAATCTGGCTAGCGTGCTGGCTGAGGAAAGCTCAATCTAACTTTTTGAGGGCAAAAAAAAAAATAGTCACCGCAACTTCTCGAACAATACTTTCTGCAACACCTTCAGAACTACTTTAAACAAATGTAGCTATCCCAAACAGACCCTAAGAGCTTGATAAACATCACTTCTATTGTTTTTTTCTTTTTCTTTTCACATTTGTTTAAAATCATGTTTATTTATTACATTTTTTCAAGTGAACAAATTTATTTTTAAAAGCATTCAAACTGTTTTAGAATTTATTTTGAGTATTTTTAAAAATAACTCACATAACATAATAAATATGTTTCATTTTAAATAAAAATATAAAAAAAAAATCAAGTGATCCCGAACAACCCCTATGATTCTAAGATTGGTGAGAAAAATCCCTCTCTGAAATAATGGGGAAAAATCAAAATATATTCCATGCATCAATTATGAAGAGCCTAAAGAAACTAACTCTTGCATTTATGAATCTCTACTGAATGAGGATTGAAGACAGATGCATATTACTTCCAGGCAACAAAACACATTGTCAAACTGTCTGGTTGGTTCTAAAGTTCTCACAAGTTAAACAATGGAGTGAGTAAAACCATAATCACACAATACTATGAATCTCTACT